ATTTTTTATTTTTTTATTCATTTATTTTTTTATTTTTTTATTTATTTATGCATTTATTTATGCATTTATTTATGCATTTATTTAGGTATTTATTTGTTTGTTTGTTTATTTAATTATTTATTCATTTATGTATTATCTATTTATTTTTTAATTTTTTAATTTGTTTCTTATCTATTTATTTTTTTATTTTTTTATTTGTTTCTTATCTATTTATTTATATGTTTGTTTGTTTGTTTTTTGTGTGTTTTTGTTTGTTCATCTATTTATTTACTTATTTATTTATCTGTTTATTTATTTGTTTGTTCATCTATTTATTTATTTGTTTGTTTGTTTGTTTGTTTGTTTATTTATTTATTTATTTATTTATTTATTTATTTATTTATTTATTTATTTATTTATTTATTTATTCTATTTTCACAACAAAAACATAAAAACAGTATTGTTTCACTAAATAAGAAAATGTGAAGGACAGCTGCCGAAAAACCTTCAAGGGGCTTTAATGAGTGGCAGTCTCCATAAAACAAATATATTTCACAATTTCAAACATCTATATGATATTGTGTAAGAAAAACAAAAAACAAAACAAAAAAAACAAAACAACAACAACATTTCTTTGTATAAAACATAATTTAAAATATAATTTAAACCACAAATCCATATGGAAAATTCAGACAACTTAGCAGCAATTTTACTCTCTGTTTGAATTGTTCTTTAGAAGAAGTAGCATTTAATCAGATTAACTCTATAATGTCAAATATATCATATTTGATTCATACGGTTTCTGAAATGTTTTGCGTCTCACTCCTTTTGCATAATTTAATGGTAAAAACGTTGCTCTAAATCCTATTGTACACAATCAGATACACCTGATAACAGGGGGCTTATCGCATAGTCATAAATTATTAATATTAAAAATGTATTTCTGTTTTTTCTTTTTACATGTTTTGTTCAAAGGCCAAATAAGGAACTCAAAGGAAAAAAAAGTCATTTTCAGTTTTTTTTTTCTTCTTGGATCGGGCTTTAAAGGGTTAAAATGGCTCAACAGATAGATTGAATGTATACTTGAACACATGCATTTAGTCCAGTGTTTTTCAACCTTTTTTGAGCCAAGGTAAATTTTTCATAGAAAAAATCTCGAGGCACACCACCAACCAAAAATGTCAAACAAATCTGTATCCGCCTATAGTAATACTATAGTTATTCTTATTTTATTCTTATCTTATCTTAAGTGTCTTGAATAGGAATCAAATAAACACAAAATTTATTTTTATCATATTTTATATTTCTTCTTTCAAATTGCACTTAACATGTCCACTTCAATATACAAAATTATATACAAAATCTAGTCATAAGGAATTATTACATGATTACTCCACCAGTCACTAGAACAGCACACACACTCAGAAATAGAATATTATTTGCAGAAAATTAATTTACTTATCAAAAAATCTTTTTAGACCAATTAGGTGAAATAGGATGATTTTCTACACCTGACCATCACTAACGGCACACTAGTGTACCGAGGACCAGGGGTTGAAAACACTGGTTTAGTCCATTCAAACGAGTCTAAACTGAATCGGGTTGTGTCTCCACTGTTGACTGAATCAGGATTAAATCACTGAGCTTTTCTTCTCTGACCTGGTGACTTTTAGGAGGCGCAGCACGGAGTGTGTGTGTGTGTGTGTGTGTGTGTGTGTGTGTGTGTGTGTGTGTGTGTGTGTGTGTGTGTGTGTGTGTGTGAATGTGTGTGTATGTGTGTGTGTGTGTGTGTGTGTTTCACAGAACATCAGTTTCCAGAATTCCAGACTTCTTTTATCCCCGGGAACATCTTATATGTAATAGAAATGTGTACGGTGTGTGGGCATTAAATATTAATTCTGATACAGTACATGTTCTTCACAGAAAATGAGCCAATGAGTCTCAGTTTGAAAAATTAATTCATTGTATCATTTTTCTTTTAGTAAAAAATGAAAACGGGCCAAACAGACCAGAACACCACACAAGGGTTAAATCCTGATTCAGTCAAAAGTCGAGACACAACCCGATTCAGTTTAGACTCATTTGAATGGACTAAATAGTAAACATTCAATCTATCTGTTGAGTCATTTTAACCCTTTAAAGCCTGATGCAATAAGAAAAAAAAAAACAGAAAATGACTTTTTTTTGGTTTGAATTCCTTATTTGGCCTTTGAACAAAATATGTAAAAAGAAAAAACAGAAATACATTTTCAATATGAATAATTTATCACTTTGCGATAAGTCAAGATTATTTTTTGAGTATCTTCTGCCCCCTGTTATCAGGTGTATCTGATTGTGGACAATAGGATTTTGAGCAAAGTTTTTACCATTAAATTATGCAAAAGGTGTCAGACGCAAAACATTTCAGAAACCGTATGAATAAAATATGATAAATTTGGCATTATGGAGTTAATCTGATTAAATCCTGATTCAGTCAACAGTGGAGACACAACCGGATTCAGTTTAGACTCATTTGAATTGACTAAATGGTATACATTCAGTCTATCTGTTGAGCCATTTTAACCCTTTAAAGCCTGATCCAAGAAGAAAAAAAAAGGCCCTGGTGTCACCAACCTAACCCAACCTAGGATTTTGAGCAAAGTTTTTACCATTAAATTATGCAAAAGGAGTCAGACGCAAAACATTTCAGAAACCATATGAATCATATGATACATTTGGCATTATAGAGTTAATCTGATTAAATGCTACTTCTTCTAAAGAACAATTTAATCAGCTTTTTCCTCTTTTACCTGGTGACTTTTAGCAGGCGCAGCAGGCGGATGCAGCGCAGCACGGAGATTCCCATCACGGACATCACCCCCATGTGCACCAGCACCAGCTCCATGATGCCCGTGGACACCACGAAGCAGTCGAACCGGTTAAACAGGGACAGGAAGTAGGAGGGCAGGCCCAGGGCGTACATCTTAGTGAACATCTCCAGGGAGAACATGGACAGCAGCAGCTTGTTCCCGGTCTCTTTAGATCCAGGGTCATAAACCAGAGAAAGAGGGAGGGAGAATGGAAGTTATTTGCCTGATTGGTTAAGTTATCATCTCATTATCATCTGAACTATTATCATTATTTTAACTCATTGACTTTATTTATGTTTTTAACGAGAGTGTCTGGGGGACGATCTGCTAAAGCTTGTCCGTAAATATGGGCTTCTAGACAGAGTATGTAGTAACAAATTGAGCCTCTAGGGGGCAGTGCCACTTTTGATGGGAGATGAGCATAGACTGTAGGCAAATAAGAAAAAGGTAACGGTTCTATGAGAGAACAAGTCGCCGGTGAGACGCAAGTCCAGGAAGAACGGAATAAGGTAGAAACACATTTTTTTTCCTGATGAAAGAAGAGAGTCTACTCTTTCTTTTGGTGTGTTCGGTGTTTACATAGTCATAGCACAAACTATTCTGTGGCTCTAGAAAAATCAGTCAAAATGCTCAAAAAAACTCTGGCAGTATGGGACTCTCTGTTCTGAAAATGGCTGCCAGTCAATGAGGTAATAGTAAATGAATAGATAATTATTTTATAAACAATTATCAATCTTTTACATTGAAAACAGTTTGTTAAATCATATATTATTAATCCAATATTCAGTTCAGTCAACGCTTTTCTGATTTTAACTATTCTTTTATTTTAAATTACTTTTCTGGACTGTACTCACATCTATCTATCTATCTATCTATCTATCTATCTATCTATCTATCTATCTATCTATCTATCTATCTATCTATCTATCTATCTATCTATCTATCTATGTTGTTTATAATACATTTCTATTCCTTACTTTCTCAGATGGACTCAGACTTTTGCTTTAAAATAACATTTCCACAACACTGGCAATCAGTTCTTGCCCACTGACCCCTCCTAGACCCTTGTTGGTACGAGTGTGTACAGAAACTGGACAGGCACATGACATGTGTAGTAACCGAGTGTACAGGTGTAAATCCATTTAGTCCACACGGAGGCAGGGGACTTGACTTGTCATTTTTTACTTTGGAATAATCACCCGGCAAAACAGCGCCAACTGGGACGTCCCACACCAAACTGGCCCCCGGTGGGGCAACACCAATTTGACTATAGTTCCATCCCCAATATTTCCCAATATACAGTGGGGGAAATAAGTATTGGACCCCTTGCTGATTTTGCAGGTTTGCCCACTTACAAAGAATGCAACGGTCTATAACTTTAATCATATGTACATTCTAACAGTGAAAGACAGAATCCCAAAGAAAATTCCAGAAAATCACATCATATGAATTTATAAAAATTGATAAGCATCTGATGAGGAAAAATAAGCATTCTTTGTAAGTGGGCAAACCTGCAAAATCTGCAAGGGGTCAGATACTTATTTCCCCCACTGTATAACAAAATGTTTGTGTATAAAATGGCTTTATTCTGTAATTTTCTACTCCTTTTCTCCTGATTTTCCTCTGGAGTCAGAGGTAAGATGGCTGGAATACGTTTGGGGCTCTGACCTTGCCAGTTGGTGAGGCTCTCGGACTGTTTGTGGTGCTCCGTTGCTATGGCGAGCGTGTTGAGGAAGACCAGGATGATCACCCACCAGCGGAATAGTTTAGATTTCACGTAGACTCTGCATTTACAGCGGAGCCACCGGTTCCACTTACGGGCCAATTTACTGCCAAACAAATAGAGGAATTCACAGTCAAATTATTCAATTCAATTCAATTTAATTTCTATAGCTCCACATCACAACAGCAGTCGTCTCACAGCCACGTCTTTATGTATAAACACTTTGTCTTAACCCTGTAATGCCAAATGTGTCATATTTGATACATATGGTTTCTGAAATGTTTTGCGTCTGACACCTTTTGGATAATTTAATGGTAAAAACTTTGCCCTAAATCCTATTGAACACAATCAGATACACCTGATAACAGGGGGGGAAGACTACACAGAAAATAATCTGGACTTATCGCATAGTAATAAATTATTAATATTAAAAATGTATTTCTGTTTTTTCTTTTTACATATTTTGTTAAAAGCCAAATAAAGACTTCAAACCAAAAAAAAAGTAATTTTCTGTTCTGTTTTTTTCTTGGATCAGGCTTTAAAAGGTTAATGAAGTGAGTTAAACAAAGCAAACGGAGCTAAACTGAACTGAGGTGAAACTGAGACAGCAGCAGGACGGATTCGGCTCGTTCTGAGTGGCTGGAGGACCTAGAAGCTGAGAAGGTTTAACTGAATTGATCCGATTCAATTAAATTCAATTCAATTTTATTTCTATAGCTCCACATCACAACAACAGTTATCTTTCCAAACAGAGCAGGTCAGACCTACTCTGAAGTTAATTACAGAAACCCAACAATTCCCACCATGAGCAGCACTAGGCGACACAGGCAAGGAACAACTTCCTTTAACAGGCAGAAACCTGGAGCAGAACCATGGCTCAGGGTGGGGGGGG